AATTTAATTTCCTTCAAAAATAAGCTTTGGTTAGGTAAAAACTGACGAAGCATGTGAAAGTTATGCTTGGTCAAAGTTCAGTTGACTTCTTCTTAAGAAAACCCTAATTTGGAAACTTTTGACTTTTGATGAATTGAGAGTTTAATTGATGAATCATGATCAACCCTTGATCAAATGATGAGTATGACTTCAAAATATTGATATTGACCAAATATCTTAAGGTTTGACTGTATGTTGACAATAATTGACTTTTGTCCAATATAGTTGATTTTCAGTCATCTCAGCTATTGATTGAGCAAACTTGTCATGCAAGGCTTGAAACGTGATATGAGCATTATTTAAGACATATGAGGAACCATGGAAACCACTTGATAATTTAAAAACCCAATCTTCCTTGAGAAACACATAACCTTAGTTGTAGTTCAATTGCTTAGGAGGAGAATTTGTCTGATCAATTCTTGAGCAACCTAGAGCATTTGAGGACCATATGAGAATGTCTTGAATAAGAATGAGAGGGAAAATTTTGGGGTACAACAGTTGGGTTACATTCAAACCCATCCACGTATACAGAAAACACAGTTGCCACTAAAAACCAAGGCAATTATGGCCCAGGTGGTCGACCAGGTGGTGTTGGTTACATCCCTCAGTCGACGCCATCTTTGAATACTACTTATGTTATGGCTTTAAGGAAAAAAATGGATGAGTTCTTTTATACATCTAAGGATGGAAGTACCCACTTATGAAGAGGAAGAGCTTGTTGAATAATACAAACCTAGGCCATTCGTAGTTAGGAGGAACTAAGATGTTGATCGAGTGTTAAGAAATTCCACTGTTGGGCGTAACAACATAGTGAATGTAGTAGAAGAAGTATTAACACAATTTAGGGGATGTAAGGTACCTAAATTTACCAAGTTTGTTGGTGATGCTAATGAGTCGGCCATTGAACACATTTCTAGGTTTGAAATAGAAGCTGGCGATATCGCCAATGACGAGGGTTTAAAATTAAGATATTTTCCTATTTCATTAACCAAAAATGCTTTAACTTGGTTTACAATATTGACCCCAAATTCTATACGCACTTGGGAACAACTTGAGAGCATATATCACAAGCAGTTTTATGCTGGTCAGCCTAAGATAAGTTTGAAAGAATTATCCTCAATCAAGAGGAGGCCATATCAGTCAATTGAGGCTTATTTGAATAGGTTTAGGGTCCTAAGTCTAGATATTTTACTATAGTTCTTGAACATGAGCTGGTCGAAATGGCCGTTGGAGGCTTAGATTATTTTATTAGGAAGAAGTTTGACCGTTAATCTATTACAGATATGTCTCAACTAGCTTATAAGGTTCGATATGTCGAACATTTGAAAACAGAGAAAGCTAGAGTTTAAAAGGATCATAGAAAAGGAAAAGTGGCCTATGTAGACACAAAAGATTATTCTGTAGAATCTGAAAACAAATGCATAGAAGAAGGAGAAGCTAACGTGGCTGAATTAAAATCCAGACCTCTATACACATGTAAACCTATAAGAATGTCAAAAGGAAAAACGGTCGAAGAACCATAAAATGATAGATCTAATGCTAAAACATATACTTTTGATGTGTCAAAATGTGATGAAATATTTGATGTTTTAGTTTCAGATGGTCAGATTGTAGTGCCTACAGGCAGTAAAAATATACCATTAGAGCATAAACAAAAAAGAGGTTTCTGCAAGTACCATATTTTTTGGGGTCATAATACTTCTCAATGCTTTCTTTTCAGGGATTTGATTCAGAAGGCTTTGAAATATGGTCGATCGAAATTCGGTGAAAAACCAAAAAATCTCCATGAAGGTTGACTCAGACACTTTACATGTTGTTGATGCACACTTCGTCGAACCATTAGAAGTGTTGATGACCGAGGCTACTAATGGTCTCGAAGGCGAACAAGACAACGTTATCGACTCAATGGAAACATTGACATTCAAGACTATTGACAGTTATGAGAATGGACAAGTTGTGACTACTAATTTAATGGTATCTACAACAGTCGAGACTACTGAAGGTCTCAAAAGTGGCAATGGCAATTTGTCTAAGCCACATGAAGTGATGGTAGTTGATATTGCTGAAGAGCGTAAGGGTAATCATGGAAACAAGGAAAAAATGGATTGCGAAACCAAGAGGGAGGAATTGTCTGAAGAAACAGTTACTGAATTGGTGAAGGTTGTGTTCCCCAAACCTGAGGAGGAATTGGTGGATTTTCTGAATAGATGCAAGTTGAGTAATTCTAGGTCTATTTTATGCCCAAATTATAACGTGGTCTATGATGAAAATGCTGCAAAGAAAATTGAGGCACTGAAGAAGAAACGCCCTCAAGAGAAAAATCTACAGGTGGTGTTCAACTATGCGAAGGGGACATACAAAGTCCAAGTGCCTCAAGGAAAACATAAGTTTCTATATCAAAGGACCTTTGTGCCACCAACTGATTCTCCTAACAATACCTGGTTTCATCCTTTCTATCCAAGGGGGGAAAACCAAAATTGGAAGGTAGTGAAGAAAAGTTCAGGTTCGAGTCATAAGTGGAAAATGATGGAGAAAGGATCAAGTTCTTATCAATTTTCTGAAGCAGGGACCACTTCAAAGAAGTAACATGTTCCTACCACATATAAAAGGAAGAATATCATGATGAAGACTAAATGGAGAAGGTTCCAATGAAACAAAAAAGCTGCAAGAGAAGCGTCATTAAAAGTTGCTCCAGTGAAAGACAAGATTGATCAAAAGGAAAAGCACTGTCGACCAGCAAAAGAGAGGTTGTCGATGTCGGTTATAAGTGCACCGCCAGCAAAAGCTAAAGATCCTATTGACAAAAAGGATGATGAATTTTCTGATGACTTTGACGATAGCTCACAAGATGGCTTGATTATTCACTTTAATATTGTGTTTATCCTGCCTAATGAGTATGGTTTCGTGTCAGAAGCATCTGGGGATGAAGAAGAAGCCATGTGCGAAGAATCTGCGGGCCAAAAACCTATATGCTACTACATCATAAATAATGGGGTAGTGTAAGAACAACATGCAATGTTTGAGAAGCCTACATCTGATATGATGTACCATCTTAAGCCTTTGTTTATAATGGCTAGAGCTGATGGTTTATCTGTGAACAAAGTGTTCGTTGATGGTGGTGTTGTTGTGAACTTGTTGCCACAATCATTGTTGAAAAGGATTGGCAAGTTCGACACAGACCTCAAACCACATAATATGGTTTTGTCGGCCTATGAAGGAAAAATAAGTCACACTAGGAGTGATTCAAGTGAATTTATCAATTGGATAGACTTCAAGGCCAACATTGTTTATGGTGATTGTGTCTAAAGCAAACTATAATTTATTGCTAAGGTGTGAGTGGATACATGACATTAGGGCAGTACCATCAACTTTGCATCAACGCATATCCATATGGTGCCAAGATGGGATTGTGGAAAATATTGAGGCAGACCACAGTCATTTTACTACTTATGTGAATATGGTCAATAGGAAGAATTTTGACAAAGCATTAGCTACCATACCTCTGTGTGATCCAGAAGATGCAGTGCTTAAGTCACATCTTGATGCAATCAAGTTTCTAACCATACACCCCGCTCATGGTTTCATTTGGGACCAATAAAAATTGGATATGTATCCAACTACATAAGGGGAGTTTGAACCCACAGGGTGGGAAGAGCAAACTTGTGATGATGCATGAGTCGAATGCTTTGGAAAGAATTTTGGCCTATATGGCCGAAAATAGGATAAATTCAGCTTTAGAGGCTGGAAATGTTTCAAATATGGCGCCTGAATCCATTATGGTGGAAAAGCTTGGAGAACCAAGCCAAACAGCAACTTCAGAAATCCAGAGGCTTGACTGCATATATGAAGAGGAGCTTTTGGGGTTTGAGAAAGACCTAAGAGATAAAATTTTAAGGATGCAAGCACAAGATCCATTAGAGGAAGTCAACCTGGGTGATGGCATGGTTAGGCGAATTACATACATCAGCACCAAGATCGATAGCATGATGAAGAATCAACTGATCGAACTGCTTAAAGAATTTAAAGATTTCTTTGCATGGGATTACAACGAGATGCCTGGCTTGAGCACGGAGGTGGTCGAAATTAGACTACCCATAAACCCAAGCAAGCGACCAGTCAAACAAATGTCAAGGAGGTTCATGGCAGAAGTGTTGTCCAAAATAAAAACAGATGGAACCACTACAAGAAAATTGGCAGATTGCGACAGGTATTTTTGTAGATTATGACGGTTAAAACCGTCGCAATTTTCTTTCCATGACGGTTGCTTTACCGTCGCAGAAGTGTGTGTCCCCAACCTATTTCGCGACGGTTACAAAAACTGTCGTTCAAGTTTACGACGGGTTTAGAGCTGACATAATCAAGTATTGGTGACTGTTTGATACCGTCGTGACTATCTTTTGAGTTTCTTTTAATTATTGATGGCGACGGTTCGATACTGTCGTGAATATCTTTTGAAATTGATTAAATTGTTTATGGCGACGGTTCGATACCGTCATGACTTTTGTTGATTATTTTTAATTGTTGATTACGACGGTTCGGTACTGTCGCCATGACTTTTGTTTATGTCTTGATTTTTTTTTTATTTTTCTATTATATATATTTTTTATTTAAATTATTATCTATGTAAAAAATTTTAAATATAGTTTTTTTTTGTGTTATTTTTTTCTTTAAATTATTTCTTCTTTAATATATTTATTTATAGTATTATTTTTTGTTTTATTTTCTATCACTTTGTAATATAGTAAAAATAATTTCAATAAAAAATATTTAACATCAAATAAGCATTATAATATCCAAAAAAATGTGTGTTCCATAATCATGTAAAATGCGAGTTCCATAATCATGTCAAGTAGTACAAAAAACCCAAAATATATCAATTCCTAATCTTATAATAATAAGTATCATTATGCCAAAAATACATGAGAAAGTTCACAATCTAATTATCTCGATCATAGCAAAGTCTAATTTGTCCCCCCTGAAGTTCCATTATCTCCAATACGGTAGCTAGACTCAGATGAACGTCTACCATCAGCGGGTGATTCCAATCCCTAAAAAAAGGTATTAAAATAATAATCTTTAAAATAATACTCATAAAATTTAACTTTAAATGCGTCAAAATAATATACCTGTCTTCCACTAAAATTCTGCATTTGCATTAAGAGTTCAATTTCCTTTGTCCTCGCCTTGTCCCTTTGCGTTAAGAATATGATTGCCTGTGTTAATTCATCAATTTTTGAATTCTTTTCTTTAAGTGCATTAATTTCTTCTTGCATTTCCTTTATTTGTTCACTTTCTGCAAAAGAAGATGTCGATCTCGTAGATCTATTAATTTGAGATGGTGTAACTCCAAGTCCCATACTACGAACATATCCATGCTTTTCTTTTCCAAATACTTTCTGAAATGCCTCATTTTCAGACACAGAATCCTTAATTGCAGCTTGTAATTTTTTCTGCACATGAAAAAGAAAAAATTGAGCTATTGTTTATATAACAAGAATAATATATTGGGGGAGAACCTCTTGATCAAATCATGGACTTCCATATATACGTAAAAAGAAGTTGGCACAAACTAGGAGGTGGCACAAACTATTGCAATTGGACTTGAATAATACTGTTGGTATATAATTTTGACATTTTTGCCATGAATAATAAGAAAGCAGTACATTGAGCAATGGTAAGGATTGTTATTCATTATTATTTTGAGTCTCGATCCCCTGCCCCTCCTCAAAAAAATCCCTTTATAATATGTATTAAGTGTAGTAGTACTGATGCTTTCAACTTGTGCAGGAGGGATTGTTACTTTGTACTCTCACCTTTGCAAAAATGCAAAATTTTGTTTGCTTCTTAATCATCAAACATCTGATGAGGAGCTATCTACATATCGCAATCCTGGTTACTCAAATAGAAATATACCACCCTCATATTTGAAAAAATTCATTGAAAAACATAAGAGCACAAATGAATGAGTTAATATATCAACTAAGACAATAAAAAAGAAGATATGGATACCTTAGGTTTTAGAAAAAGAATATTATGTTCACTATCTATGACTTTTGTCATGTCCTATTACCTACACTATCTCTCCTGTTATACTCCAAACTCCCTGTCTGGTTCATGGATTGTTTCAAAGAAAAAATCATGGTGTATTGGGTAGGTTCTTCTATGTGACATGGAGAATTGTTTACAAGTGTAGTGGTGAAAATCGGAGATCAAGCTATTAATTAACTTGACTCACAAAAAGCAAGAGTCGCCACCGCGCTTTATTATTTCCAAGGGAAAAGGGAAAAGAGCGAAATAAAACCCTAAAGTATGCAATGTAAATTAATATTTAAAAGTAATGAAAATACAATGCGTTTTTAAAAGAGACGAGAGTTCGGGGGTTGGTTATACAATGGGAAGGTACTAGCACCCAATGCATCTGCGGTACTCCGCAGGAACCTTTTGAAATATCCGTTTTTGGTTAAAATTGTTTGTTTGATTAAAATGGTTTGTTTGGCTAAAAATAGGTGTTGGAGAGATTTTGAAGAAGTGATAACCTAATGTCGAAGTTTTGGCTTAAAGGTATGAGTTTGAAAATGGAGTCTTTTGGGAAAATTATCTTAAGTTTGGAAAAAATAGTAAATAAGCAAAAAAAATGAATGAGGGTATTCGCACGATCGGATGTGATGTATTTGATGACGTGAAGTCAACAAGATTTAAATCTTTTCCTTGGAGTAAATCGAACAAGTAAAATAAGATGAATCAGCAAAGTATAAGCATTCGAAAATTCACAAGAAAACAAATCTAATGAAACAGATTAATGATCAAAGGCATCAAGAAATTAAAATGACAAAGATATTTAAATAAAAGAAAATGAAACTAATTATCTAAGTCAAAATTCTAATATTACTTACTAAAATAGTTCTAAACTAATTATAAATTCTAAAGTTATAAAAATAATTCTAAAATTACTACACTAGATCTGAACTAAATTAAAATTTTAATATTAGCAAATTAAATCTAAACTAAATTAAATTCTAAGGTTACTAAATTCAATCTAAAACAAATGAAAATTTCAAAGTTACTAAACTAAATCTAAATCAAATAAAAATTCTAAAGTTAACTTAAATAAAATCAAATAAAATTCTAAAGTTATTAAACTAAAACTAAACAAATAAAATTCTAAAGTTAACTTAAATAAAATCAAATAAAATTCTGAAGTTATTAAACTAAAACTAAACAAATAAAATTCTAAAGTTAACTTAAATAAAATCAAATAAAATTCTAAAGTTATTAAACTAAAACTAAACAAATAAAATTCTAAAGTTAACTTAAATAAAATCAAATAAAATTCTAAAGTTATTAAACTAAACTAAAACAAATAAAATTCTAAAATTTACTAAATGAAATAAAATTCTAAAGTTATAAAATAAATCTAAACTAATTAAAGAATTCTAAATTAATATTAAACTAAATTAATTATAAGATTTACTAATATATTTTTTTTTATTTTTTTATAACTAATTAAAAGGAATTTAATTGCATTAACCTAAATATCTAAAAGTATAAAGAAATAGAAAGGGTGTCTTTGGGAATACCTAAATATCTAAATATCTAAAAGTATAAGGAATTTTTTTTATTTCTTTGGTGGGACGCACTCTGTCTTTGGGCTCGTCTAAGACAGAGGGATGAGCTGTGGCCTTCTTGTTCTTAAACAGTAAAAGAATTCACAGTAAGGCTTATCTAAAAAATTGGATCAGGAAGCACAATGGTAACAGTAGGGTATTAAATACCTTTAGTAAACCATGTTTGTGTAGAATAGCAGGTGAGGAGCAGATGGCCCCGTATATTCTTCCAGCTGAATTTTGTTCTTTTAGAAGCTTCTTCAGAATTCTAGATTTGCTTAGCCTTTGAGTGCCAGCAGTTCCTCCCGGGAGAATAATCAAATCATGTGATGACTCTTGAACATCACTAAGTAACTTATCAGCAACAATTTTGGTTCCTTGAGAAGCCATAACTCCAAGAGTTTTCTCAACAGAAGCAACTATGACATTAGCTTTTGCTCGCCTTAGAATATCCATCAGTGTCACTACTTCAATCTCTTCAGAACCATGTGCAATTGGGATGAGAACACTGGGAGGATGGTGACCAACAGACCACTCAATTTCATTGAACTCCTTCTTAGATACATTATCATCACTGGTTCTCATCAACAAGAATTCAGCAACCTCCCTTGCAACAATGAGCTGATGAACCCACTCTTCATAAGCTTCACCCAAATGACCAACCAAATGAATCCAAAGAAGCGGTTCTGCTACTGTTGAATATGGATATGCTACCACTACCAGCAGCACCGTTGATAGCAACCCAAGGATCTGGCCAAAAAAACACTTGAGACTCTTGGACCTTCGTAAAGAAGACGGAGAATGTTGTCGTTGAGGTATGTTGTGAAAATCTTCACTGCTGTTGTTACTCGAGTTAGAGGTACTATTGTTGTTGGTTTCATCAGTAGTAATGTTTCCTCCTCCAACAGCATTGAACAAAGCACAAGCAGTAGCCATATTGAGATGAAGAAAGAAGATGAATATTGAGTATGGGTTCAGTTAGAAAAAAAAATAGTAGTAGTGTTGTGTTGGTTTTAAGAGGAAAAAAACCATGTGTTGGTTCCAAAGTTACAAGGAGATCACGTTGTGAAGATTGAGACAGTAGCTAAAGGATTCTCTTCTCTCATAGGACTGAATAATTGAATTGAAAAAAAAAATGAAAGGATTCTCTCTCTATAGACTATAACACAATAGAACACGGTTCTCTATGCCTTTTTTTGTTTGTTTTTTTTTGTATCAATCCACCACTTTTGCTAACAGCCAATGAGAGCATAGTATAGTGTAATCAATATATTTTTGTGAAAAAAACGCCCCTGAATGACAAAAATAAAATAAAACCTGAAAGTATAAAAAATAACTCAATTTAAAATAGTTTTTTTGAATTTTTTCTGAATTAAAAATAAAGACACAAAATGACCGAAAACGATAAAAAACGGACGAAAATTTATCCGATAAAATAAAATGAACACATTAAAATAAACTACATGTCACGAAGATTAAAGAAAAACAATATTCAAGAAGTCAAAAAATCAAAAATAAAATAATAATAAAAATATCAGACTAAACAGACGTTTAAGGTTAAAAACGAGACTTCGAACTGTACCGAAAAATAAAGCGAGCATACCGTCATAATCTACGCGAAGCGCAGATTCATAAAATGATCGGTAAAAGGTGAAAACTTGAAATATTTTCTCGCTACTTTCCCGCATATAGTCGAATCGCTTTTAACAGTCTGTCTATAAAACCAAAATATTTTTATTATTGACATATAAACAACTTGGAGCAATGCAACAAATGAGTAAATAGATAAAAAGGCATGAAGCGAAATGCCGGGTATTTTACAACTGAAAAACGATGCAAACTTTGATTTAAACTGACTTTTTCTGATCAACTTAAATACGACTAATGATGCAAAAATGTGATGAATGAAGATATTTACCAACGATGGTGACCAAATAACAAAATATGATATGAAAGTGCGACTAAAACATATTAGGGGCGAAATTAAGGGTGCAACGGTGTGCCTTGATGAAGCAGTCTTCGAGAATCCATAATCAACCGTACTTTTGGCTTGGGAGACTCAAAACCTTAATTGAAGCGCGACACCTGATTCTCTTGATTCAGACCTGTCTCTGCACATGACACAAAAGAAAACATGAACATACACCTTTGTATGCGATTAGAAATTAGTGATACATATGCTAAAAATGTTCAAAACACTTGACAATCTTCGCATAGTCAATGCTTGAAAGTGAGAGGTTAAAACCGACTGTATTTCGTGACCTTGACTTATCTTTAAAGAATGCAAAAATAAGAATGGGATCTTAGGTCAAAAATTGGGGTACAACAACTGCCCCTATTTAAGTTTCTTCTATCTGGAGATATGAAGATTGGGATCTTCATTTCGACAAGATTGAAGGGACTTAAATATAGAATACACAATTTTTGGCCTTAAGATACCGCGATTATGTTTACGATATGATATGAATGTGATGTTTTGAATTTTATGGGGAATGACGCCATATGAGACAGACTATGCTGGAGAAACCAAGCACATTATACACTAATCCCACAGAGGAAGAGGTTGTAACTCCACTGGGGAAACAAAGTCATAGACTTCAAACGAGAGGCTCTTGAATGATTTGCATCAGTATTGAGACTGGAAAAGGTAATGATTTACATCAGTACTGTGACTGGAAAAGGAAATGATGGACATCAGTACTGAGACTGGAAAATGATTGACATCAGCACTGTGACTGGAAAAGGTAATGATTTACATCAGTACTGTGACTGGAAAAGCATATGATTGGCATCAGTACTGAGACTGGAAAATGATTGACATCAGCACTGTGGCTGGAAAACAAAATGATTGACATCAACACTGTGGCTGGAGATAAACATCTCTGATTTCTGAATTTTACCAAGAACGGTAACACATTTCTTCTTTAACCAAGATATCGCTTGAAAAGGATAAAATAACAAACTTCCCCACGGGACTTTTCTGAAAGGGATGCCATTTGCTGAGTATACATTATTGTTGGGGATACACAAGTTGCTCAAATAAAGAGGCCGTCACTTGCTTCCTTTTAAAGGTGTCAATAACATACAAGCTGCTCATGAAGAGACCGCCGCTTGTTGTTTCTTTTCAAAATTACCAATAACACACAAGTTGCTCATGAAGAGACCGCCGCTTATTGTTTTCAAAGGTGACAATAACAAACAAGTTGCTCATGAAGAGACTGCCGCTTGCTGTCTTCAAAGAATGTTAAAGTACACAAGCTACTCATGAAGAGTCCGCCACCTATTGCTTATAACCCACAAGCTGCTCATGAAGAGCTGCCACTTGCCATTTTCCATACAAGCTGCTCATGAAGAGCTGCCACTTTCCGTTTTCCAAAGAAAAATAACGTACAAGCTACCCATGAAAGGACTGCCACTTGCCGCTTTTTCGAGGTGTCAATAATATACAAGTTGCCTCGGGAAGAGACTGCCTCTTGTTGTCTTCAAAGAATGTTAAAGCACACAAGCTACTCATGAAGAGTCCGCCACCTGTTGCTTATAACCCACAAGCTGCTCATGAAGAGCTGCCACTTGCCATTTTCCATACAAGCTGCTCATGAAGAGCTGCCACTTTCCGTTTTCCAAAGAAAAATAACGTACAAGCTACCCATGAAAGGACTGCCACTTGCCGCTTTTTTGAGGTGTCAATAATATACAAGTTGCCTCGGGAAGAGACTGCCTCTTGCTGTTTGTCAAGAGTATCCATAACACACAAGTTGCTCATGAAGAGACTGCCGCTTGCTGTCTTCAAAGAATATTAAAGCACACAAGCTACTCATGAAGAGTCCGCCACTTGTTGCCAATAACCCACAAGCTGCTCATGAAGAAGCTGCCACTTGTTGTCTTCAAGGGAACAATAACACACAAGTTGCTCAAATAGATAAGCTGCCACTTGCTGTCTTCCAAAAAGTACTAACGTACAAGCTGCTCATGAAGAAGCTGCCACTTGCCGTTTTTTGTACAAGCTGCTCATGAAGAGACCGCCACTTGATGTTTTCAAAGGTGACAATAACATACAAGTTGCTCATGAAGAGACCGCCGCTTGCTGTTTGTCAAGAGTATCCATAACACACAAGTTGCTCATGAAGAGACCGCCGCTTGCTGTTTTTAAAAGTGTTGATAACATACAAGTTGTCCATGAAGAGACTGCCACTTGCTGTTTTTAAAAGTGTTGATAACATACAAGTTGTCCATGAAGAGACTGCCGCTTGCTGTTTTCTCAAAGATACCCATAAAATATCATGAAGATATTGCTGGAGGTGAGAATCAATAATTTCATTGAGGATGGACAAACTGCTCATGAAGAGACCGCCATTTGTCATAGAGAAATCAGAAATAATCAAACTGCTCAAATAAAGAGTCAGTTGCTTGTTGTCATGTCGATATTCCAGAAGAAGGTTGTGATAACGCTGCTGGGGAATAAAGTTCATCTTCAATGGGGAACCATGAATAAATCCTTCTTGAGGAGGCCAAGTATTTACATTGCAAAATAAATGCACTATCCATCCAGGTTTCACAGCCTAGAGAGATCCACAGGGTATCGTTCACAAGAGACAAAGCTCAATCCAGGAATAAACTGGAGAGAAAATAGTCAAACAAGACTCCACCCAATGAGGAAATAACTCAAACAGGGATTTATCCTATCCAGAGATGGAAAAGGAAAGCTAAATCAAGATTCTTCCACGAGAGTTAACTCAGTGGGGAATTAGAAAAGAGGCGCACTTTCTGCTTAAGTTGACACTCTATTTGGAAAGATCAAATACGCTATTTGAATAGTCATAACCAAGGTATACGTACTCAAAGACATCAACAAATACAACTGTGCATGCATGATGCAAGTGTGAATGAATAAATGAATGTCATGTATATGCTGACAAAACAGACAGGGGAGATGGACAGAAAATGATAAGACATCACAGTACAACTCGACACTCGGCTAATCTCAACAGGATGGTAACATTACTGGAGATAGAAAACAAAAGCCATCATTGGAGCAAAGTCCTTTTACAAGGCTTAAATCTCTTTGGAGAGGAAGATATTTTCAGGTAGAAAACCCAAAGTCTAATCTTCTAATGTCAATAATTCGTTGAAAGGATAACAACACGAACAATGCTTCAGCTGGAAAAAAGTCTTGCTTAGCTAGAGATACTGGGAACACCACCCTCTGATAATGTATGAAAAACATATCTTGACAAATCTGGATTGCCCCTGGGATTAATTTTGGATTCCCCAAGTTTACTGCTGATAAGCTGCATGTTGCACGACAATTCTTGCGAATAACTTCACTTCTAAAATGCCCCAAGCTATATGGTTGGCGAGGAGAAATAATCTCAAGAGGATTTTACAAAAGACCTGGCATTCACCATGCTCTGGTGTCTTCAAACTCTTAGAGAGATTCAATAAATCTCGACATGATTGCCCCGAATTGACTGTAGTTGGCACAACAAAGTCTTCAACTTTTGCCCCAATAAAGGGTAAACAAGTTGGGAAAGCATTAACTGGGAGAAGCAACATGTTCGTGCTTACGGTCTTCAGGTGACATGCCCCTGGATATGATTTTTTTCTTGAAATGATCCGCCAATTACTCAACATAGTTTCAAGCCTTAAAAGAATAAACTCATCACTGGTGCTTATATGAGCTTCCTTGATATCAAACAAATGTTTTGCAGTTAGAAAAAGTTTACAATGAGAATGAAAATTCTAATGCAACAGTTATGTAAGTCTTGAAGATTTTGAAAGATATCGCACAAATTTTGCGAGTTAAAGCGTCATTTATTTTTGTATAGGAAAAACATATGATACCAACATAATTATTTAGAACATTCATGGGAGTCAGGAACACTATCTCATTGAAGTATGCTTTCAAAATAACCTTGCTTCAATTAGGACTTTTGAAG